TAATTAATTTTTAAATTGTTAAATCATGATATAAAACTGAGTTAATTTTTAATTTGTTAACTTTTAATTTTTTTAATTTTTTAAATCATTATGGCTATGTTAAATCATGACAATAATTAATTTTAAATTGTTTATTTGTATTCGAAAAACTTAAAATATTGCTTTTAAAAATAATTTTAAATTTAACATAATTTTTTAGGAAATTATTTTTAAAAAATATAATTTTTAAAAAATATAATTTTCTAATATTATTAGACAAATAAATAAATTATATTAAATTAGTTTATAAACTTTATATATTTTAATTGCAAATATTTTACCAATTGCTTCTTTAAAAACATTAGGGAACTTGCTATACTCTACCAATCAAGTCCAGTGACACTCCATTTATTTTCCATCACTCGAACACTAAAAAGTAAAAAGATATATGAAATCAGATCCATTAAATTCTAAGATTTGATTTACATTTCTAATTAAAATTGTTTTTGATCATACGTATAGATAATTATATAAAAATTTCAAAATTCTAAAATTTCAAATACATACAAAAACAATCATATGTAAATTTTAAATTTGTGAATATTAAAATTTTATATTTTAATTACATATATTCACCCTGCGCAAGGCGCAGGTCTTATCCTAGTTTTTGGTTAAAGTTAAAACTAACTTGTTGGGATCAGTTAGTTCAAACTTTGACCAGAAGGGTTGAGGTACACGTGAAAACGTAAGCGCGTCATATATAAACAGCGAAGCACTCTGACAAATCACTCACCTTTTCTCCATAGCCTACAAACTTACCATCCGAAGTGTGTTTTGTAGGTTTAGGAACATAGAGATTTTAGGTTAGGTTTTAAGATTTATCTGCATGGAGATTCTGGAATGTCTGCAAACGTAAAAAGACATTCAAACCCTGTAAATGTGATGTGAATTTTAGGAAAGCCTTTATAGTCTATTTGATTCAGAAAGAGAAACAATTTGATTTTTTTTTTTGAAAAAGTAAACATATATTCTGTTTGATTTTGCAGGGTTGGATGTACGTGTATGAGATACACTTTATAATCAATCATATTTTTAAGTTAAAATATCTCTTATTCCATTCTGTTTTTGTATTCTACTAGAAAATGGTAGATACATATTCATTTAGATGGTGGGATGATGATGTGCCCCGTGGGACACATTGAACAAACTTGTCGTCCTATATGTATATATGAATTATGAGTATATATGTGTTTGTTTCTTCCTCAAACTCATGTGTTTGTGTGCTTATCAGTTTACAGTATTTGGCAGTGGAATATTTTTAGTATACTAGATTTTATACTCGCGCTACGCGCAAGTCTGTATTAATAATTTAGTTTAGTTTTAAAATAATTTAAAACAAAAAAATAATTGGGTAACATAATTTTATTATTTAAAATATAATTTTAAATTTAGTATTTGTGTTTTCTTATAATTATGTTATCTTATTAGCTATTTAGTTATTTGTATTTGTAAATATAATAATTATGTTGTAAACATATTCATAATCTTTAAAAATATTAATTTATATTTTATAATATTAAATAGATTTCTCAACATGTAAACGGTTAACACGTTATAAATTTTCATCATACATTTTTATATTTTTAACAAAATAAATAATTTAACTTCAGCATATTATATAATTTTCGTTTGTACTCTAAAAATTTAATTTTTTATTTTCTCTTTAAGTTGTATAAAATTTTAATATTTAAATAAGTAATAT